ATTTAGATACAAAAATATGTGTGAAATATTTCTCAAAATTCTCAGAGATAAATTGTTGCTGAGGGATCAATTTCTATTAACATTTTCTGATATTTCTTTTTGTGTTTTATTTTTTTGTAAAAACCATGTTTTGGAATTTATGACTTTATTTAAAACGAATTATAATAAACGAAGAAGTTCTGAATGCATTTAATTTTGAATAATTCTGTGTATTAAAAATGAAATAAAATTTGAAGGTGATAGTCAAGCTACTTATTTTTTCTGCAAGTCCATACTTTAGTCTAAATTATTGTGGACACAGTTCTCAATTTTTTGAGATATGTATATCGACAGGTCGAATGAAACGATGTTGCAAAATATCCAGAATCAGTGAATGATATGATTCCTGGCACTTTTATCAAACATGTTACTCAACCAACAACAAATGTTACGAAAGTGTAAATGTTCTTGAAATTACGATTGTTACTACTGCAAAGCAGTCTATGAATGACAACTACTAGTTTATAAATTTAATTATAATATCTAATGCGTATTTTCGTACGCAACATGAATTTCATTTACGATAACACAATAAATAATTATAAGAAATATTTTCAATAATAATTTCAAGTTTCTTTTATTTCTCTCAAATGATCCCTTTGACAAAACTACAAAAATCGGTTCAAAAGGTATTGCAAGATATCTATGATTACAACCATTAATTCAATGTTAATAAGGTTAAGTAGATGAAAAAAATTCGTCAGAAGAATTTTTTCGACGTTTAACTCCATTATCAGTAATGTAATTGAAAATGTTACATAAATTTGTTCCAAACTTACTCTAAACTTAACATTATATTCTATTTATGTTTAATATCTTCGTGTCACATGTATGAATTATAATATTTAACGTATGTAAATATGTAATACGTGTACATAGATATATATTAAGTATATGCAATGTATATACTAAGCAATATATTAAATATTGCTGACAATATACAAATATTTGATAACTATGTCGGTATATTACACATATATAATAAATATCTAAATATGTTAATATATATTTGTTTATTTCTTCCATTGTATTTTGTTCATAATTGCTGCTTCTTTTTCGTAAAAATAATCTGTACTTTTTCACCTATAAGAAAGTGTTTTCCTCAAAATATTTATTGCAGTTGGACATCTTTGTGAAGAATGCCGCCATGCATGGCATTCATGTTCAAAACAGGACATAAAACTATCAGAAAGTTGGGATGCTTTCACGGTGTGTTTTAAATGTAGAAAGCAAACACGAAAAACATCACACAGAAGCACAGCGCCGAATTGAAAACGCAATGAGTCACAGTTGCAAAATAAGCGCGACTCGTCTTTCACGGCGCTCAAAATTTGTCGCGTTCGCTTTTGTGCCATTTGCCGTTTTTAAACAGCCTGAATTGAATTCTCGTCAATATTTCTTTGCGTTTCCTCAGCGCTTTTGTAAACGAAACGTGAAACGAACAATTTATCATGTTTCTCAGAAGCCAAACTGATCACTTTCTATGCATATGTTCACTTGTACTTTTGTTTTCGTTTGTACGTTGTATTACAATGCGAAATCTACACATTTAATTTTTTTTATATATAAATATATTAATCATAAATATTTGTGTTTATACGTATGAATAATATTTCTGTATTTATACATCAATAAATAAATTATGTATACGTTTGTTGTATTTTGCATATAAATAATATATTGTATATTTACATACAAAGAACATACAAATAATATTTCAACTAACGTACATAATGTACATAATATACGTAATGCTTCAACTACTTACATAATAACGTAAATAAATATATTATAATAAACATTTACAGAAATATTTGTATGTTTGTACACATATTTTACAAACCTGTTAAATTCATCATTTCTCAATAAAAATCTTATATCTCACAACGTGTTATAACAGATGAGTAAATATAAGTTAATTTTGTAAATGATGTATGCGATAAAAGTAATCATGCACTTAAAAACAAAAAGTTAGTATAAAGAATATTGCTATTAACGTAAATAATAAACAACAAAATTGCAAAGTAAAAAACTTATTCAGTGATTAGTAATCGTTTTACTCTTAATCATACTAAAATATATTAGAATGTTCTCAATGTTAGTTAAAAATACATTGTAACATTTTTAACCTTCATACACCAAAATGGAGTCTTTGTTCCATAACACCTGACGGCCTCGGAGACTGCCATATTCATGTGATCATCGTAAAAAATTTGTTTACGTTGCAATAACATGAGGTTCATAAATATATAATTGGTTAAATTATAACTCATACCACATATTCGTAATTAATTTCTAAAATAGAACTATTCTTTTCAGGTTCTCTGATCTTTTTAACGCAAAGCCTCAGAGACCGTCATGTTGATCACCGTGGAAGATTGAAAACACTTTCATTTACTATTTCAATATGTTACAATAACATAACATTTATAATTAAAAATACAATTAGTTAAATAATCAACTTACTCACTATTAAATAATCAACTTACTCTAATTAATGATTAAATTCATATCACCTTTACTTTCTTCGAGCTTCTTGTTAGGAAAGAATGCATATGATTGAATTACACGCGTTTTTGCCCGAATGACGAGTTTTTCCAGGTTAATAGGTTAAAATAAATTTCAAGAAACAATTTTAATGCTTTTTAGCTCACGAAGTTGATTGGTTTGGCTTCTGAGAGACTCATATAACGAAGACCACTGTTCGAGCAGCCTCTCAAACGCGTCGAGAGTTTTTCAATGCACCAAGATTAATTGCTGCACGGTACCGCTACTGTGTTTGTAGCAATTCTTCGTAAATGTAGACTTAACTAACTGGAAGCAATACAGGGTGGCTCTGAAGAGGATGAGTTTAATTCTTGAGAGTGAAGAATTTTTAGTTTATTCAGGTTTTTTTATTCACTTCTGGCAACTCGGTACACGTTGTAATTTATATGTATATTTTATATATTTTATATAACAGCTATGTAACGCTTCTTTTGCATTATAACCACGACTTACATTATTTTTAAAATAACTATTATTTTAAATAACTTCATTTTTAAAATAACATTATTTTTAAGTTTTATCTAAATATACTTTTTAATTTGTTATATAAAATTGATACCACAACTGAATGAACAAATTGTAAGTAAGGGTGATGTAAATTATGTATTTAATATTATACCCACAAAATTGGTGAAACGTTATAAAAAAAGAAATTTGTTGTTTTTTTTTATTATCTTAATATCTATTTAAGTAAGCAGGTTAATTAAGAATTTTTGTATTTGATATTTATCGATTAACGTTAGAACTGTATTATGAAGAAAAGTATTTATATCAAAAAAGCTTTGTGACAGAATCAATTAATGAAACTTTCGTTAACATGTAGATTACAATTAATATTTGTTATTAGAACAAAAAAAATTAATTAAAAAGAATTAAATAGAAAAAATCTTCACGGTATTATTTTTCTGATGTATTAATAGTTCATTCGGATGAAATTATGAAATAATATAATTTATAATATGTAACTGTTTGAGTAAATCAATGAAGATAACTCGTGTAAAATATTTACTATCAACATATCATGAATGACTGCGATACGAATGAATCTCACGTCAATGTCGTTGAGAAAGATTTCATTTGAAAATGAAAAGAACTGCATATTTTGCAATTTAAATGACACAGTACTTTCATGTTCATTGTTTAAAGTGTGACAGTCCGTGCGTAAACAAAATTGCAATAAACAATCCATTTCTTAATCTTTGTCACTGAATTTTTATTTTTGTATTTCAAGAAATTTTTGCAACGATTGATTTTTATTGCAAATTAAATTTTACGAGTTTGAAATTTGTACTGTTTATTAACTTTACGTTTTTTGTGATATTTTACATGCACTAAGCTTTTTATGGAAAACGTATAAATAACATTTTATTTATTTTACAAAATTATGAATAATATTATTAATCACGATACTATCGTCTGATATTTATTTTTTCTAATATTTTATAAAATACTCAAATTTTATTGATTATACAACATCAAGAAATACCATTTTCCTATCGAATTCCTATACATTAAAACAGCAGTAGATACTTTTTTCGTTTTGTATATTTTGCTACGTTCCTAAATGATGTAACAGAGAATTAAAAGACTATCAACAAAATGTTTACGTCTCATTTTATTCTAATATTTCATTAATATAATTCATGTAGTAAATACAATTCCACGACTTTATGCAGGAAAGCATGTCGTGATTGAATGATTGACAGCTGTCAGCAGCTAATTACATTTATAGTAGAATCTGAGTTTCCACCTCTTTTATGTTCCCATCAGGTAATAATCTACGAGTCACTTATAATCATTTACGTACACAATTTTACATAAAATTTCATATTTCTAAATAACAAGTAAATATACACATAACACGTCCCTGTTAATTTCTAATTTAAGAAATTCGAGCAATAATCTGCATATAAAAAAATTAATACTTGCTTAGTTTAAATATTTAATTGATTGATTAATACCTAATTAGTTTGACATGTAACGTTATTAAATTTTCTCGGTTACTGATACAGCAATTAGTAAAATACCTTTCACAGTACATTAATTATAATCTATAATAGCCTCGACTGTGTTCTTCCAAGGATATCAATTTATAGCCACGATTTATTACCTCTTAAAGAATACTTTTACAATATTAATTATGCATTACCTCGAGCTCCAATGTCAGTTGCCAGTGCCAACAAAGTATAAAATTATCAAAGAATTTTTGATTGTATGCAAATGATATTCATTTCATACCTATAAAAAAAATATAACTTCCTTCGTTTACCTTCAATTGACACATACAGATACGTCGGTTTCTATTTAATTCTACGTTCACTTTCAAAACGTAACAATAACCTTGAGTTATCGCATCGAATCTCTCAAATTTGGTTTCATCTCAAATTATACTTGTATTGTGAACGAAGACTTACCTCGCGAGAAAGGGTAATCCAATATTGGCGATGACGCACCGCTCGTTTCACCGTGTGGCTTTTTCGTTTTTCGTTTCGTCGACAATTTTCGCGCGTCGAACGGATCAACCGTCGAACGGGCAAATCGAAAAGACGGCGCACGTGACACCGCAGAGTGCCCGTCCAATACTGACTCGATCTACTAAGCTTTTCGCTCGCGAGTGCGCATCATCACGCAGGACCAGCGAGTGCGCATGCGCAGGACCAGCGAGAACGCATGCGCAGGACAAACGTAAGTGCATTCTCCGAGTCAGGTGCTTGATTCGTCGATCGCGTCAGTTCAACGTTGCTGTCAAAAATTCTTCTCGTCGACATTTTTTATACTGTAGAAATGTAAAATAAAGGACGCATGCAAAATAAAGGTTATCACTTTCCTACCTGTAATAAGGGAAAGTGGGGTAATTGATAAAAATTTGACCTTTTCTCTTTTTTTTATCCAAAGATCGTGAAATGTTTAAATTTGTTATTTTTCTAACAAATTTAAAGTAAGTGGAGTAAAAGTAAGTGTTTCTAAAGTAAGTGGATTTGAATGCTGAAGATTTGAAATTAAAAATTCTATTGTATGGGAATTTATGATTTAAGGTGTTGAAACATTTTAGCCTTGAGGCAAGGGTAGTTTACACTGAAAATAAATGAATGGTAACTTGTTTTAGAGTTGTATCTTCAGATTAAATGGACAGAAATACTTTATACTTGGAATTAAAGGCTTTATGTATGAAGTATTTATAATATATAATATTAAACATTAGAATGTCTTAGTTCAAGGAAAAAATTGGAATCTTATGGCGAATGTAGATTTTATTATGATCGTCTTTTAGCTTTTTAAAAACACAATACAGTGTTCCATGTACTCTTTTTTTACATAATCCATTACACCTCTGAAAAGTTTACTTTTATTACACAATATAATATTCACAATTGGCGGGAAACTTCCACAACTACAATTGTCGTTAGTGTTTCCATAAAATTTTCATCATTCATATAAGTTATTCAAAATGCAGATTTTCTTGGTTAAAATATCTAAAATATTAAATTATTTTATTAAAATCATACTACATCATGACTTTTAAAATTTCTCTTACAACAATTATTTTTTAAATAAACTTCTGTGTAAAACAACTAAATTAAACTTCTGTGTAAGATAGTTAAATAAACAATCTTTTCAAAGTAAGTTAAGAAAAATTTGTCAAAAATAAGGAACAATTATAATTTTCACAAATTTTATATTACACAAAAGTAAAGTTTTACACACGTCAGTTAAGTGGCTAATTTCCGATTGCAATGTGAAATATATAACATAAAATTTAAATAAAATTAACATATCTCCTCGTTTCTCAAATTGTATTCTGAATTTATCGATAAGAACATAATACACGGTGTTAACAATTATAGTTTGCAAACGTTACAGTAAAATCTGAATTTAGCACCGAAGTACTTTATAGGATGTTTTTCAATCGGGAAATAGTCCGTAACGTTTATTGGAAATGACGTGGAGTGCATTAGAGGTGCCAGCATCCAACAGGTTTGCGAGTGTACGTTTGAAGAACGAGCAAGAAAAGCGCGCGAGCGCAGTTTATCCGGTCAGTGCGTTCGCAGAAGTCGCTTTACTCCTACGTATATACAGGGACGGACAAATTCTAATGTTTCTCTAAAACATTTTCTGCTGTTAAAAAAAATTAGTTTCTTTCGACATGATATACTATTTTAACGACCGTACAAAACGTACACACTTTAAATTAATTTTCTTCAGCATCCTAAAAGTTCGAATAAAAAATTTGAAATAAATGATTTCTATATTGTTGTACTTAAAGCTATTGTACATACAATATAAACATTTGCTATATCTTGTCTTACTTTATTCTACATAGTCTTAGTTGTCTCATTTTATTAATAAAAGTAATAAAAGGAAACTTGTACATTTTTCTTTAAATTAATCAGTGTTTATTCATTTAATTAAATTTTTTAATTCATTATAAATTCTTCAGAAGTTAATTAGGTATGCAGTAAATTCGATTTTAGATTTTATACTTGAAACGCAGAAGATGTTTGATTTACTGAAATATACCAAAAAGTGCAATCAAGTTTTCTTTCTGTGAATTTCTAATTGAATATTATCGGTAAAATTAAAGAAGGAAATTGTTTTTTCAATATAATTGCTACGTCCCTGTCTGTGCCATATTTCTTTTCTTTCGCCCACGTTATAGCAGTCCTACCTTTAGAATCGTTATTTACGGTAATAACGAAACACGAATAATCGATGACTCTAAGAAATCGTTCACGCATGGATATTTTCAGACAATTCAGTTCTCCGTAGGCAGAGTAATAGAATGCAATTTAATAAAACCTTCACAAGTTAAATTAAATTAGAGTCTTGCAGGAGAATTTAACAGTAAAGCGACGCAAGACATTCACGAAGAAAGGTAGATTAACTCATAATAATTGATTCATGAAAATTGTATTAATGATCTGAAAATTATTCTTTCACCGAATAAAATTAATAACAGATTAATTATTAATAAGTGTTAGTAATATTAATATTTAATAATCAGTATTAAACTGTGGTTAGGTAAAGAACTACTTTAATTTTTAATAGACTCTATAAAGTCAATGAATGATAAGTAACTAAAATATTATTACGCTTTTACTAGTTTTAACCTGACCTAACCTAACTGACAATAATTACTTAAAGAAAGAATTGTAAGATTGCTCTGGATTTTTTCACAATAAAATATTTAACAGATTATTAATAAATGTTAGTAATATCAAAATTTAATAATCAGTATTATACATTTGTTAGATAAAGAACTAACTTCTAAAAAAAAACTCTATAAAGAATACGAATAATAATTAACTAAAATATTATTAGTTATATTTTAACGTACTCAAATGCAGAGATTTATAAATTTCAAATATTTAATACCGAATTAATATAATGTAATGAAATAAAAATTGTAAATGCAGGATGGTAATATGGATAATATTGCTGGCACAGAAATAAAAATGTTGTAACCTTTAACATACCGTTGAATGTATATGAACGGTAGTGTTTTTATATCATTTATGAGATATTCGATTATATACATGCAAATAAAACTACCTGCATATAAGTATCCACTGACGAAATGGAACGAATCTGTTGATGATGTCATCCTTTACGATTCTTGCTAACGTGTTAAAGTATCTGCATGATTCCTAATAAATACATGATCATTAATGCATAGATCAACATGTAATTAGTACCGTTGCTAATTGAAGCTTTACTCTACATTATTGAATATGTTAAAGTAGGTTGGATGAGTTGTTTGTCACCTTGTCAAAATGATAAAAAATGATTATGTCAGTAATGACGTAGAATTAAGAATAAAGTATTGTTTATGTAATGAGAATGTCATACATAAATTGAATACTCATTTAATCTTAACATGTTTCTATTTAAATATAATTCTGTAATGAAATAATCTTTATTTAAATATTTATTTTATATTTTATATGACACGTTATATAATCTTCTTTAATATCTAACAATTTCTTAAATTGTATAATAAAGATCTTAAAGTGTAAAATAAAAATTTTATGATCTTTCATGTAATTGATAATTAATTTAATTACTCATAATTAAGTAAAAATTTCTCTCAAGTGTGTCATTGGGGGGATGAAGACAAATGAGATCAAGTTTTTAGCAACCTATAGATAGTAATAGTTTAAATTGATGCTGAATTTAATTTTAATACATGTTCTTGAAATAAGGTTTGATTATAGAATGAAAAGCAAACGATTTTGTTTTTCAAATAAAATTGAATACGATCAAACGATGATTGCTTTAAATATTAATCATTTGTTCATAAATATAAATAGAACTCTTCTTAATCGACGGTTTTTACAATAGAACTCTTCTTGGCCGACGACTCTGATGATCACCACATTTCTGTTTAATGTACCCCCATCTAGCGGTAGAAGAGTAGAACTAATTAAACTACAGTTTCAAATGTGTGTAGTTCACCCTGTTCGCCGAAGAGATGGCGCCACTTGTTCAATTTTCCTAAAAATCCAATTAATACTGATTTCATTGATTTATATGCTATGTATTTATTATATATTTATTAACATTGATTTTATGCTGTTTGTAATATATTCCGTTAGTCCAAATATGCGAATTATGTCTTTAGAACAGTTTGCATATTATACTGTGACTCGTCGATAATATAGGGAATGACATGACAGTGGCAAAAAATTTTCTTTCGAGTCACCAAAAACCATTCTCACGGATATCTTCTTTTGCAAAAAAGAGCTTATTTGCAAAATTTGATCGATATCGGAGTATGGTGGTTTTCCAAAGTTTCGCTTGTAATTTTATAATTTTGAAATTTGTATTCGGGACGTTAGAATTTTTTAATTTTGGGAGTGTGAAATTTCCGAAGGTTAAGATTTTGGAATTTTTAGATATTGATATTGTAGAATTTTGGAACATCGTGCATTAAGCGAGCGAGTACTACATATCTTGTCTCTGTTAAAATGCGTGATCAGTTCAACCGATACAGTAGGGTGTGACACGAAGATGGTAAAAGATTGTTTAAACTCTAAAGATCTTCGTGCGACATACAAACAGATTGTGTCAATGATTATCTTACACCTAGTCTATGCTACATAATATTTGTCGAATTTATTTTACCCTTAATTATTTGCAATTTATACAAACGACCGTATTGACAGCACTACAAAACAAAATACTGTAATCTTCCATATTAAAATTAAGATTTCGTTCTTCGCAAAATACTACTTACTATTGTTAATGAATAATATTTTCAGTATACTGTATTCACCCACAAATATTTACAGTACTTCAAAAATTATGTTCACTTAGAACTTTGCAAAATGCTACTAACAAGCATTTTTGCTATTTAATTAACTGCTTGTAACCACCTGTTATCAAAGAGTGCCAAAAAATTAAAAATTGAGGGTAATATAAAACTTAAGTAAACTAATTTTTAACCTGTTAATTCTACAATATAATCATTTATTTGCATGCTCATTTAATCTTAATATCTTCAGTATTACTGTCACTGCGAATGCATTAATAAAAAAGTGTTCTCTCAGACATTATACTTTACGCTTTAATCAAAACGCGATACAAAAATATTTAACATTTTTAATGGTATTTAATTTATACTGCCTTCCTTTTCATTTACCATGACGCATGATGTTTGAAAACATTTCTGTTTTTGAATTATACATATACAGAGCCGAAAACAAAAATACAGGTTCAGGAATAACAGCAATCTTCCGTTTCAGGATTAGCAATAAGGAGCAGAGAGTAGAGAGCAAACGCCGACGGAAAGCTACTCTTAGTGGGGGCCACGGTGCTTATGGAGGTAGATTATATTGATACAAGTGCAAAACATGTTCCATATGTCCGTACACGAAACGAGCAACTCTCACTTCAGAAGAGGAACGCGACAGCAAAAGTATATGTGTAGTAATGTGCTAAGAAAAAGAAGAAAAAAGGTGTGGCTGTCACCATGTTTTATAAACACGCGCACTGTTTCCACTTGGCGCGTTCTGCGCATGCGTAAACGTGACGTTTCAATATGGCCGACGAAGTGGGAAACATTGAGCTATAATATGGACTCCGCATGGTATTCATGAAGCGTTAGTTACTATAGGGACAAATAGACGCAAACTGGGGGAGAAAAATATGTAGCATATCTTTCTCTTTTTCAACTATCGTGCAATAAATTTATTTTATATTTACTGAAAATTCATTTCATTTTAAATCTTTGAAAATTGTCATCGATGACTTTGGCCATGAGTGAATGTATCGATTATTAATTTATTAATTTAACTATGATTTATTAGCATTCTGAGTATATTAATATTAAGGTATAAATTATAACGTATGTAGGATATGTATAAAATAAATGGAGATACTGACAGTCGAGATATAGAAATGAAGTTTTAAATTAAAATTGAACACTGTTTTTCATCATCTTTTCTAATACTTTTAAATATTTATTTTGAATGAATTTATGTCGTTCATTATTTTATGTATTCGTGTAAAGCTTTAAAAATTTGTTAAATAATGCCTCCATTTGGTTATAGACAGTATATACATTGAATTTTGAATTCGGACTTTTTACAAAAGACTGATGGTGGCAGCATAAGATCATACTGCTGCGTTTCAAACATGTTTGGATTTTCAAATATCGTGTTCCTTGAAAGTTTTCATTAAACAGAAAGTAAAATAGAAAATCGATATTAATAATTTTTAAATTAAGAACAATAATTTATTTGATCTTTGGTAGATTAATATTTCGTTGTTGTTATTATTATTTTTTCTGTGTATGCAGTAAGTTTCAATGTTCGAAACGTAGTGATCACATATTTTTATTATAAATATACCTTAACTTTATAAACCTATAAATTTAAATGTATAAATGTCTGTATATATAAATGTACAAAATATATTAAGCAATGAAATGTACATGTACAAATTCATACGTTTTCGAACAATTTTTCCATCACAAAAAATCTGATTCAGCTCTATGCCTACCTTAATTTATTCATGAAAAATTCTTTGTGCAGGAACAGTTTAATGACAGGAAGTAGAATTGAAAACGTGTGTTGTAACAGGTAAATAACAATATCATTTAGAATCCATGTTTTGCAGACTCGTTTTAACATCCTTTGTTGAAAGTCCAGGTAATTCTACCTGGTAGACTATAATTCAACAGTTGAAAGAACTACCTTTGGAAATGATTTCGAAGAAACTCACATCGTGTTATTATTCTTGGAACAATGACTTTTTGAAATTTGTATTTTTATGTTACAACTATTATGTTTCTAGAAGTGTTTTTAAAATGTGAGTAATTTTACTGATTGAAGTGTGACCTTATAAGGAAAACACATTTACAAGCTTAGAACTTAATATCGCCATATGTTTTACAAAACTAATATCTATACTAACAGGTATATTATACAACTAGTAGTTATAGAAATAATGTGTCTCAACTAATTATAGAATTCCTATAAACATATACTGTACACTTGTATTTTGAAATTATGTTTATCAGTTTTAAGCTTTCAGACATATTCCAAGAATTCTGCATTATAAAGTAGAATGCTTGTGTGAAATCAGTGAGGGGTATTGTTTCCTGGGTGTCCACGTATTAATAGAGATTCCGTAATGGTAAATCAGTGAGAGTTTATAATTAGATTTTGTCGAAGACTTTACAGCATAATCTTTAATATTAGAATTAGGCGCGTGTCTAATTTATGTTTCAGTCAATTTTTAACGTACTTAACTATGATACGCTAAATCGTTAGTACTATGTTAATTATATTAAACAGTTATATAACTTCAGCTAGTTATTAATGAAACTGTACTAATCTGTATATGATCGTTCTATATTCAGATACAGTTAATAACGGTGTATGAGAATAATGCATTAGCATCTCATGACTTTAAAAAGTGTCTGATATCTTCATTTTTTTAAAGCTTGTGCATTGTTCGTTTTATTTATTTATTTTACTGTTCAACTTATATATTCAATTTACTCAATTTTGCAGAATTTCAAAGCACGTTGATTTCTATCTAAATTAAAATTAGTATACACTTTTTTATACTGGTTTATTAAATTGAACATACATTTTCATTATAGTTAAATATAAACAGTCAGTAAAACAATATTTCTTTAGTTTCCTATAATTAAATTAAAAAAGAGTTATTTACTAGATTACACGAAGTGCTTCCTCTTTTAGATATACGCCCATTTTTTACATCCTCTGTATTTTGAATTTATCGATCCTTCTACTTTCGGCCAAAATATGGTGAAAAATAAAATTATAACTTTTGGCGTCTGCATGTTATATCATTCTTTTTTATACATATATTTCACCTTAATTCCAACAGGAAAGAATTTAATATCATTCATATAAAAACATTGAATTTATAATACTAACTATTCAAGTTTAACCGCATAATTTAGCAATTTATCCTATAAAAATATACCTACTAAAAGAATACGTTTCAAACAAAATGTAACATTTAATATAAATAAAAAAAAAAATACATTTTACAATAAATACTTGAAAATTTCAATTTTAATATATACAACAATCCAACTTTGCCTAACTCTCTCCCACTTGATCACAATACATGCCAAATCTCATAATATCTACATTATCAAATCACCACATCCGCATCATTAACAGCAACGTCTATTCCATCGATTCGCAATCTCCTTGAAAGACCCATCGTTGGACCAACAGGCGAGTCACAAACCACAGACGTCATCTCGAATCTCTCTAGCAAGCTACGTTACTGGCTCCTGGTCTATACACGCGCAACTCCAATGAGTCTGCTGGTGCGGTTTGGTTAGACTCCAACTCGTAGCGTTCACAAGAGAGGCCCCCATATTAATTCTCCCACTTTTCTTTGCCTTTGTAACGCGGACAAATCGAGGCACATGCAAATTCTGCTCGCAGACTGTACAGCAAGTGTGCGTCAGAGAGCAGGTCCGTATCCGACGAAAGGGTATAGGGGCCCTAGGTCTGCACTAGGCAGCACTGTGACCAGAGTCTAGCTGTAGGAGCATCGAGGGAGGAAACAACAGAGCAGGGAAAGTGGTAGGGGTACTCGGAGCTAGGTTCACAGTAGGGGATGGGTAAGGTGGGGAAGTAGGAGGTGGTGGCGGCTGCGCCGGGTATCCGACCGGGACAGCCAACTGTTCAGAAGATGAAAAGAGATAGCCGGAGAGAATGAGAAAGAAACGAATGGAATGGAAAGGCAGTCAGGTTAGCAGCTAGTGGGGGAGGCCAGGGACGAGGCAAGGCAAGCGATTTAGCTGCTGCTGGTTCGGCGAGACACGAGTTGGAGTGCCGAGAGAGCAGCCGAGGTCCCGTTGCGCCGGGATAGGCGTCATGAAAGCGCGCCAGTTGACCGAGTGCACCTCCCGTAGCACGAAATCGCGTATTTGCTGCCGCAGGATTTAACGTTGACCCTGTTGTTGTCTGTCTTCGTGGCAAGGACCCGCGCGTCCAACGATCCTGGCTGTCACTTCGCCCTCGTTGCCCCAGTGCCGGATCTCTGGCGTTCGGAGAAAGGAGTCCAAGTTTCGAGACAGTGTATTCCGAGTGATATGACAAACGTGTTTTGTTTCTTCGTCAAGTGATCACGGATGTACCTCAACCGCTCCGCTGGTGATATAGGACAAATGGGTGTGTGTGTTTGTGTATGTGCAGAGGGCTGAACGTATGATATTGTTCAACAGTTTGCTCGTTTCACGTCGAATCTTGTGGTACCTTGTTATTGACATATTGATTTGGCCGGTATGGCCTTTCTCGTGGCGAAACAGCCAGCGAAAGAATGAGAACTCGTTTCTGTCAGTAGGCACGACCGCATCGAACGAAAGTATAAAACGTGCTTTGCTTTCGTGCTGATAGCTTGGTGCGGCTGCCGTTTCACCTTGACGTTGGAACACATCGTACGTAGTGGCACGTTTCGGTTGATATTCCGGGAACAATGCAGAACCGAGTGACAGTCGTTCGTGTATCGTGAAGATTTTCGCAATATCATTTCGTTTATAAATGCAAAGAGACAAAGACAATGGAGGAAATGAAATCATGCTAGACTATATGGATAAATGATTCAAATCCGTTCAGCGTTCCGCAACGCTATTTACATAATTTAGCAATATTAACGCAGGCCGTTTTAGAGACCGCATAAGAATCAGACGTACAAACAAAAGAGTCATCCTCATTTAACAAGTATTTTCTTATTATCGTTTTTTACGAACTTTGTACATTCCAGTCATTTCCTCGAACATAACCTACCGAACGTACAAATAATTACTAGATCGACAAAGGACCAAGTTAAGGTTCAACCCAGCTGATAAACAAATTAACAGCTTTCAGGGAATCTTATCGTCTAATAAGCGTGGCATCTTCGATTTCGGCTCACTCGGTTCGTTAACTCGTCTAGAGGGTAGTATCCCTCCGGGTCGTTATCCCATTCCATGAGCTGACAAGGAAGGGTACACTCACTGGGAGGTAGAATCCTACCAACCGGCAGCTATTCTATGCTTCAAGTTTCAGATTGCACTTGAAGAGAAGAAATGGCCCCCTGCAAGGTTACCAACAACCATGTCGATAATTTCTGATTCTTCGTAGCGATTTAATTCACCGTGTAAGCATGTCGTCCGTGTGGTCGTCGTTCATCGACTTTCTAGCTTGACATTCCATTTGGAAACCGTCGAACCAGTTGCACATATTCGACAGTCATGACGAAAAGAGGAACTAAGAGGTTAATGAACGACAGAACGAGGAAAAAATAGAGCTAATTTGCACCGACATTCGGGGGTATCCCAAAAGACTGAGTTCTAGCGGTGAAAAGTAAGTGTACAGAGAAGTAGACCATCAGGAAGAACGTGTTCAGACAGCACTGTCTGTCGTTTGCAACATTCCTACCAGTGTATCCGGAACAACACAGAGGGGAGAGGCGTACAAGTGTTCCGGGTAGCCAAACTCGAACCAGCTCGGATATGGCAGCTGTCGTTCTTTCACGGCTCCATAGTGATCGTCAATGCTGTTACCGGCAGTATAGTACCTGTCAATCGGGCGAACAGGTGTCGTCGCGAAGTATCCAGGTTGGGACACGCGGTTCCTCGTGATACGGGATCCGGTGTCGTCGATCGATCGAGAGACACGAGCGTGAGCTCGCGCGCATTTCTAACGACCGAAAGTGTTTGTGTGATACGGTGAGTGAATCGAAGAGGAAGTAGGGCAGAAAAGGAAACGAGGAAAATATAATTGCATCGTTGTCAGTAGATTCTGTTAAGGATGAAGAACGTGGCCATCGATTCACCGTCGCCTGTGTCCAGGCTCAGCGGCACTCTTCTACTACTCCTGACGCTCCTAGCCGAGGTGAGTAGGACGTGAGCTGATGGATAATCGTATGAATGTAGGACGTGTTGTTGGAATACCTTCCTGCGACTGAGTCTGAACACGCGCGAACAAACATACGAAACCTCGTTTCTGTCGTACATATTCGAACGTATCTGATTTTAACGAGAGGAGACTCTTTTAAAGAACATCAAACTCTGGACTTCTTCAAAATATTAGACTAACTCCTAATTTTATTAATATCTAGGGTTGATGTATTAACCTCTTCTCGTGCTTTGATGAGTCTCACTCGTGACGCACTTACAGCTAAAATGTGACAAACCTTACTCAAATTTTGAATGCTCTTCGACTTGAAATTTAGGTTCAACTATAAGTTCATTATCCCTGAATATAAAATATGTACATTTTAATTTTCTTCGTCGTTTTAATGTTATAGTCCTGAATTTAGTCTTGACGGACGCATCCGATAAATAAATAACACGGGAAGGGGTTAAGGAGTCTTTGTATTAAAATTGTGGATGAAAGAATACATAAACAAGCATAAACATATTTGAAGTTGAATACAATTATTAAGGAGTAAAATCTGTAACAGAAAACTGAGATTTTAGTATGTTACAATTTTGTATGTATTAATTTCTATCTTAATTTCTGAAGGTAGTTTTAAAAAGATAATATGTAAATAAAAGGATCCTTTTAACCGAAAAAATACCTTCATAACGATATACTGGAATAGAAATGCGTAGAAATTCTTCTTATATCTAATTAAATCTTTTCTGTCAGCATTAGAAAGTGATTTATTAAGATTTGGCAAGATAACGTCCATGCTAATAGCAGGTTTTGTCTACATTTCAGAGGGTAATTTAGATTATTATTGATTTGCAATAATTTCGAAATTCGTTAATTAAAACTGTAGGACTACAGATTAGAAAAAGCTTTAAAGTTTCAGTATAAAACAGATCAAGTATTATCAATAATTCCATACCGTTTGTTCTAATTTGTACCTAAAATTATAAAGAATACTGAATCAGCAGTATTATTGATTTAAAAGATTAGTTATCAAATTAAAATAGAAGTTCAAATACACAGAGTACCCACATGACATTTATTTATCAAAACTGATATATTGATATTAGCACTAAGCCTGTCGACTTAGTTACTTACTTTGAAAATAAAAACTAAGTTAAAACTAAGTAAACAAACGATAAGACCATTCCTTATTTTGATGAAAATATAGATTTCAAGATAACCTTAACTTTGTAACTTAAAATAAGAAACATGTAAAACGATCATTCTCATATCCTTGATAATATATTTTTTTATACAAACAAATTATTTTTCATAACTGATCGCCTTGAAAGTTTATGTAGATTGTTATAAAATAAAGTAAATTTCGTTACACTTATTCGTCAGCTTCTGCGACATCGAACGTAACGATGCAGTTAAAAATGTCTCTAGATAAGAGTTATCGACTCTCGTAAGAATTTAACGTATTTCTCTGCTATTCTCTCAGTATGATAGTTTACGAGCGTTCACTGCAAATCTGACTCGTGGTCGGTGAAGGGGAACACTGTCAATATCTAGTCTTCTTTGCGTGGCCCATTTCTGTCGCTGCGTTGCGAAACTGGCTTGACTTTTCCAGCTGTCGAGAATGTCTCCCCGCAGACTGATGCCCATTGACCCCTGAATTTGTGGTCCAATGAGTTACCAGCGTTCTCTTATCTGCTCGTTTACCCAACATGCTGGATTTCCGTGAAACGTAGCCTTTTATTTTACGGAAATTGACGACTGCAAAAATTATATAGGGTAGATGTACTATTTGTAGACGCTGCATCACTTGTGGTCATTGTACTCTTAATTCTGATGCATCAACTATTTTCATATTAGTTTCATTGTAAATAAGACATGATATATACATATATATTTATGATATAAACCGTGAATTCATGTAGAATATACATATGCATTATTGGTATGTTATTTTTGGTGGGGGATCATCATGTTTTCTTTGAAGCTAACATTAATTTTATTTTGTAACCTTTACAAAAGTAAGAGACCAATTGTTACATTTCTGAACTTGTTTTATATGTATAAAAGTAAATTAAATGCAACTATAAATTATAAATTGATCCTGTATAAAATTGTTTCAAAATTTGCTATATGAAGTTCGACTACTAAAAATTTGTCAAACTAAACAAATAAAAATGTATCCATGTTATCGTTAGGACACAACAGTTCTCGTTTATAGTTATTTAAATGATTATGTCAGTTTAAATATAATTAAAAATGTAGTTAACCAGATAGCCTAAAATTTGATTAAACAATTAGTCAACCTAGAAAATATAACTGTAAATAAGCTAAAAATATCGTAGCAAATTAATTCAGTGCAGTTACTAAATAGACTGCAGATATTTACGTAATTATAACATACAAGGCGTGAAAAAATGTAAACTTTATTAGCACGTATAAGTAAACGAAGTAAATTGTTTAGAGTGTGCAATATATTCGAATTAAGATAATGGTTTTAATCACCTAAATAAAGGAAATATTTGATAAGACCATACTTACATAAACATCCGCTGTCTACTAATAACTGTTAGTTGATGTAACTTTGCACTTGAAGATAAGCGTAGTATTGAATTACTCTATGGAAATTATGTTATTCACTGACAGAAATTTCGTTAAAATCTTTATACTTATTTTTTAAATTTGTAAATAATTTTCTTTATTCTATTTCTACCTTTTAGGTGCGTTACTTTTATATTTATTATATTGTTATCAAATGTTATTATACAGGGTGTAACGCTACTCATGATTTTTCTCCCACTTGCAGTCACCTTACAAAGAAAAGTTTAATATAATTAAAAATGTAGTTAACCAGATAGCCTAAAATTTGATTAAACAATTAGTTAACCTAGAAAATGGATATAACTATAATTTGTTAATAATATTTGCAGGGTATGGAGTGCACAATAGATATTAGTAAAGCAAATTTTGAAAACAGTTTGTTCTCTTGGCAATGTCAAGGTTACCTTGGGTTTTTTAAATAGGAACACACATTTTTTTATTCAAAGCATTAGAGAACATCGAGACGAATTCAAAACACATGTTACATGATATTTTTATTAACATATTATTCGATTTACAGAAGAGGAAATGTGAAATACTTAGCTTTTGACTTTGGTAGTGCAACAATTAGTTGATTCTAACGAAATTACTGGATGTAAACACGCGAATAGAATGATTTTCTTACATTCTATTCGCGTGTTTACATCCAGTAATTTCGTTAGAATCAACTAATTGTTGCACTACCAAAGTCAAAAGCTAAGTATTTCACATTTCCTCTTCTGTAAATCGAATAATATGTTAATAAAAATATCATGTAACATGTGTTTTGAATTCGTTTCGATGTCCTCTAAATCTATAAATAAAAGAAATGTTCCTATTTAAAAAACCCAAGTGACCTTGACTTTTCCAAGAGAACAAACTGTTTTCAAAATTTGCTTTACTAATATCTATTGTGCACTTCATACCCCGCAGATATTGTTCTAAACTTTTTTCGTAAGGTGGCTGCAATTGGTAGAAAAATTGTGAGTTACAGGCAACACCCTGTAAGTCATTACGAATACTATTAATACATATTTATTTTGGAATATTGAAATTTGACAATATAAAATTAAACGAAGAACTAGTAAAATTAATTTAAATTTACGTATATCATAATTTGAAAGTTTGATCAAAATAATCATATTCTTTCATCAGTTTGTTTAATATAAAACAGTTAATTATCAATTACAGTAAACAAGGCATCGGAACAAAATTTGTGTATTGTTTCTTAACGCAACGAAGGCTGAAATTGAATATATCGAGAGAAAGTACAGTTAATTAACACATAATGCGCCGTTACCTTAAGAAAAAGTGTAATTTTGAATAATTCATGGTTTTATAAAGTATTGATATTTTTGGAACATGTTTTAATTCTTGAATATTGCGCACAGGGCTTTTAACGGAAGTTTTGTAATATGACGTTTGTCCGATTCGAAAATGTTGAATTTGCTTTCGTCAAGAATGATTACGTCATTTACATTTTTTCGCGAAATGAATTCGTTAGCAAAAATGAATCACCTCATACAATTTCTTTCGTTCAAGTTTTCTATGAAATATTGTCCCATTATTTTTTAACACTCGGCGAATAGCATTTTCTTTACAAATCCTTAAAATAGTAAGGCTATTAAGAAGAATAATTAATCTCTGTCATTTTTAATTCTTTTAACAGTTTTCTGTTGGTGAATTTCGTGTTTCTTATCGTCTTTCGTGAAGTATGGCTTTCATAATTAATACCTTAACACAATGTGTTTACAACGATATCTCTTGTTCAAGTATAAAACTAATTTTTCTCTATAACTTCACACCTGTTATACAAAACATTTTTATACTTATAAAGACGTTAAAAATTTTCTGCCACTCTTGATGTTTCAAGATGAATCGCATTTATATCATTTGTTAAATAATGTATACTTATGTACATTATCGTGGTATCATCTAATTAGATATCTATAATGAATAAAAGATGTTCGAATACTTTTACGAGGATAGAATGTATAGTTATTCTGTCTTTTTCTTCCATGTCCATAAAAATTATATCAGATAAGTAAAATTATCATTATAATCAAATAAATTAAACGCTTTATCAGAAGTATTATATAACAATATTTCTTTAATGTAATTGCTCATGAATATACATGGAAATAACATTAATTTTAATGAAAGCCACTGTATTTACCAAATGTAGAGAAACGTATTCAACAGAATTTTAATCTGAATTCATTAAATGAATTAATAACGTGCGAGAGGAATTGAAAGGTGGGGAAAATATACGAGGATGATAATTCATTAACAATGTTTCATTGTATCAGACAAATAAATTGATAAATTCATGAATTTGTACATTTTCTATATTTTTAATTTTTATTTTTATCAATTTTTCTGTTTTTAAATTTTTGTACTTCTGAATTTTCAAATTT